GCTTTTCCTTGAAAGCTTGAAAAAAAATCATCAGTAAAGTGATCTAGCTTCAGATGTTAAACAAATATACAACAACTGACAAAGTGCTAAGTTGTGGCTGGCTTCCCTTTCTGTCTGCTATTGTGTAAAGAATACTACTGTTTACCTGTATTTGCTTTGCTGTACTAAAAATGTATTGAAAAATAAAGGTGTGATAAATCAAGCAATGTTAATCCACTAACTTATTCAGTAGATATTTATTATTTTCCTCTCATATAACAGGGACAGTAGTGTATTCTGGTTATAGTCTGATAGACATATACAAGATATAGCCCCTTCTCTAGAACTCAAAGACCAGAAGTTTTATTATTATATAAGCTAGATAGTACACTAAGTAGAGAGTTCTATGGGAGTTAAGAGAAGGTACACCAATATAATTCCTGAATCCAACTAGTCCATAGTGAACATCATAGGGATGGGAGGACAAGATTGGGTTCTTGATACAACATGAAGTAAATGGACTCAAACCTGGATTTTAGTCTTCAGTGGGTATTGGCGTGGATTGAAGACAGTGATCTGAAGGTAAGGCATTTCACATGGCATATGCTGTCTCATTGGGCTGGAGTGATAGTTCAGTGATTAAGAGTACTTGGGTACTCTGCTTTTCCAGAGGACCCAAATCTGGTTCCCAAGCACCCACTTTGGACACCTCACAACTGCATGTAACTCCATTTCTAGGGTATCTAATGCCTTCTGGTCCTGGCAGCTACCCACACAGGTGGCAGACACTCACACATGCACAAAAATAAAAAATTAATAAAAAGGTATGTGAATTCGCAAGCTGTGGATGTAGCTCAGAGTGTCTGCACAAGGTCCTGGGTTCTATCCCAAGCCACACATAAACCAGTTTGGTGGCTCACATCTGTAGTCCTGGCACTCAGGAAGTAGAGGCAGGAGGTACAGAAATTCAAGGTTATTGTGAGCTACATAGAGAGCTCAAGGCCAGCCTGGGATCCATAAGGACTGTCTTAAATACTTTAAGAGGATGTTTAAATTAATTTCCTTTGAGATATACTGTACTTTTAATATGCATCCCCAAACTGAGTGTTTAGCCCTAAGTGGTACACCTTTCTTACCCCTACCACCACCAAGGTTCAGGGAACATCAAAAGAGGAAGAGAACATGGAAATAACTTTAAGAGCTGGCTGGTGGGGCAGAGGGCTATGGAATGCAAAGTGCTGCACTTGGCGTGGCTGCTGTATTCATGAACTCACACCAACTGTGGTTGCCCTCACAAGACCTGCACAAGATCACTCTAGCAAAAACTCTCATATAGATGGGGAAAGTGCTCTCCAAGCTCCACCTTTATTGAGCAGCTAGCTCTTGGCAGTTGATAGCTGCAGTGGGAGGGAGAATAATTCTTTTTTAAATGTGTGGCCACTGGTAGGTTTTCCATGCTCCATTAGATGGCCCCACACACGTGTACACAGGGGCAGTACAAACTGGACTTTGTAGGTTATGTTTTAAAAGTGGACACAAAATTGTGAGGGGGCGTTAGGGAGGATTTGGAGGGAGTTGGAAGAGAAAATGGGGAAGGGGTGGATATGATCATGGTTAATTGTATGTATGTGTGATGTTCTCAAGAATAAAGAAAAGGTAATATTTTAAAAGGGGGCTAGAGAAATGGCTCAGAAGTTAAGAGCACTTGCTACTCTTCTAGAAGACTTCAGTCCAGTTTCCCAGCACCCATACCAAGCAACTCACTGCCATCCGGAACTCCAGCTCCAGAGATCCTACATCCTCTTCTGGATTCCACAGGTACTTGCACACATATGGCATACACACAAACACATGTGCATGTGTGCACATGCACTTACACATGATTAAAAGTAAATAAATAAATACATGTATAAATAAATCTCTTATCTTTCAGCAATATACACCAGCACACTTTTTGAACCCATTTTGCATGATGACCATAGGTTCCTTATCATTCTATTTATATTGTCTTCATTCAGGTAAACAAGTTAAAGGAGTAGACCACATGCAGAAAACCTATTTTTCTAGCAAAGGTAAAATAGCCATACAAGAGTAATATGGTGTTTTTTAAAATTTTCTGCTTAGGTATATTATAGTCCATTGGCAAAATACTAGTCAAATAGTCAACATTGTTGTCAATGGAAGGAGAATGTACTTCTTCCAAGGAAGGATATGTAGTGGTCAGCCTCATAGAGAAGCTACACATATTTTGAATAAAAAAGTCAGTTGACCACATAAAAATTAGTATTTCTTGTGAGATGGAAAGCTATTGGAAGATTTTCATCTGAGGAATGGATGGATTGGAGTTAGTTTTGACACTGAATTGAGTTAGCTCTTGCCCTGAAAAACCAAGGGGCCAAGGAAAATATAACTTCTAATTTTAGGATAGCATTTCTTTTCTAATTCTTTTATGAAATTTTCTTTTTAAAGGAAAATTGGACTAATATAGTTATAGACAGGCATTTTTAAAAATAAAATACCCAAGAAAACAGCTTCCTTTGTATGAGGATATTAAATGAATTAATGCATAATGATTAAGATTATGTGGTCTAGGGCTATAGTGCCTGGTACAAATTCATGGTCTCCATCATTATCAGGCATGGGACACTGAATAAATTAATTAACACTTTTGCACTTCAGTAGCCCTGTTTGTAAAATGGGCATAATGATTTTTACCTGGCCCATAATTTTGTAATAATTAAAATAACATGTAAAATACAACTGGGTCTTTTCTAGTTAGCAATATGTAGATGATGTTGCAGGCTGATTTTTCCAGGAATTAAAATGAGAAGTGGAAATTTCCCTGAAAATTTTATTGGGGCTCAATACCCACAAGAAAGCAAAGGAGGTTGAAAAGTGGAACAGTAATAGTTGCTGGAAATAGATTAGTTGATCTCACCAGCAAGTTTCAAGTCATGGTGATCTTACAGATTTGTCCCAAGTTAGGAAACCGGCACTGAATTTTATACTTCCATAGTGCCGCTCAGTCATTGGATCTATCCTGTCTGCTAGTAAAGAGCCTTGTCTAAGGGCAAGTCAGTTCTTTCCAGACAAGAGTGATCTGTTGAAGCATAAACCCAGTAAACATCAACAGCTTCAAGTGCTGGAGGAATAAGAACTGGGACATCTGGGTGATACATAAAACATCCACTAAAGCTGTTGCTTCATTCCCTTTAACACACCCCCTCTGTAGTTCTTTCTCTTATTGTTATTATCAGTAACTACTGTTGCCATCAAAAGGGATTAAATAACTTTGCATTGCTCTTCATGGGTGTTGTTCATCCACATCAATGAACCATTTTACTTTAGACATGCCCTTCTTGAAAGAAAGACTCTAATAATATACCTTTTACTAGTTGAGCTCTGTATTAGTTTTCCATGTTTCTTAGTAGAAGTGTGTCTTTTGTAGTAACATATATTCATTGTACAAAATATTGGATTTGATTATGACATTCTTATGCATATATCATGTATTTTTATCTTTATTACCTCATCATACTCTCTTGTTCTTTCTCCCCCATTTCATTGGTCCTGTTCATCTTCCTTCTGTTTTCTTTCTTTTTTTTTTTTTTTTTTTTTTTTTGGTTTTTCGAGACAGGGTTTCTCTGTGGCTTTGGAGGCTGTCCTGGAACTCGCTTGGTAGTCCAGGCTGGTCTCGAACTCACAGAGATCCGCCTGCCTCTGCCTCCCAAGTGCTGGGATTAAAGGCGTGCGCCACCAACGCCCGCTTCCTTCTGTTTTCAAGTCTTCATTTTATTTAGACTGAGATTATACATATGGGAGAAAACATGAGACATTTGATTTTCTGGGCTTGGCTTATTTTGGTTAACATGATTATCTTCAACTCCACCCATTTTCTTATCATAATATAGTTTTATCCATTTATAGTTACACCGTATATATGTGACACATTTCTTTATCTAGCCATCTAAGATGGACATGTAGACCTACTGCATCACTTGGGGATTGAGGATATGGCCACAGTAAACATGGATGAACAGACATCTCAGTACCAAGCTAACCTGGAACCTTGAGGGTAAGTACCCAGGAATAATAACTGGATAATGTACGCATTTTGGTGAATCAGATGGGACAGGTATTCTGGCACTCGGGAGTCACAGAATACTGAGTGTTACACAGGTCAGGTGGAAAGGTATCCTGGAGCTCAGGAGTCACAGAATACTGAGTGTTACTCAGCTCAGATGGAAAGGTATCCTGGAGCTCGGGAGTCACAGAACACTGAGTGTTACACAGGTCAGGTGGAAAGGTATCCTGGAGCTCAGGAGCCAAGGATCACCACAGGTGACAGTAAGCATAGCAGCTTACAGCCCTGCCTCAGGGAAAGGCTTCCCCAGGATATGGGCTCGACTCAGGCAGGACAGCATCTTCAAGCTGAGGCTGTTCGCTCACTGTTGCAGTTTTGCTCGGCATGAGGTTTCTCAGGAGAAGTTGTTACACTTCAGCTCTGCTCCAGGAGAGTGGAGAGAACAGATTGCAGCTCTGCCAAGAGAAGGTTTCCCTAGCAAAAGGGTTACAGCCCTGCTCGCTCTGCTCTGCTCTGCCCAGGGTCTCCTCTGCTCTGTCGCCACCGCAAAAGTATTTCACCCAAAGCTTATTGAAGGTTTTTTTTGGAAGAAAGAAACCAAGGAATGGCTGCCCTCTGCCAGAGTAGCAGGGGACAGCAGGGTAGCACGAACAGCCACAAGTTGAACAGAAACACAGTTTATATCGGGTTTACAGGGTGGGGATTGGTCAGATTTAGTGCTGAGCTCCGATTGGCTAGAGCTCCTGCTCAAGGATTGGCTAGTTTTCTGCACAGGATTAGGGTGAGATTTGGCTCTGGTTTCAGGGCCAAAGTGTGTTTCTTTTTCTGGTCCTTTTTAGCCTTTTGGCTCCAATTTTAGGTCCAGGATGCATTTCTTTCACTGGCTCTATTTCCTGGGACAAAAATGTGTTTCTTTGGCACTGGTTTCAGGGTCAGGGTTCATTTCTTGGTTCTGGTTGCAGGGCCAAAGTGTGTTTCTTTGGCTCTGCTCAGGGTGTGCTTCTTTGACTCGTCCTTTTCCCCTACATACTCTGCACCACTTGCATGCCTGGTATCAGCAGCAGACGATTTGAGAGACCCTGAGGTGAATTAAGGTGGAAGCAAGCCTTCATGTGGGTGCTGGGTGTTGAGGACTGGTCCTTTGTAAGAGCAGACAGTTTAACTGATGAACCACCTACAGCCCTTGCTCCGGAAGTCCTTAAACTGTTCTAGGTCTAATATCACAAACTCAGGAAAACACCCAGAGGTTCTAGAAGGTTCTTTGTGACTTGACCGTTGAGGCAGGATTGTAAACAAAAATAAAAAAACAAAAAGAAAAATTAAGAAGGGCTTGAGTTTTTCTACAGTCCATGCTGCACGCCTACACAGACAGCCTCCATTAACAGTCCTGGTGGCAAGAACACCCGGAGAGTATATAAGGGGCGGGCTGTAAAGAGGATCACCACATGGGCCAACCAGAGTGCAGTAGTGAATCACGCCACCAGGTGGGCGACCAATAGGAATGCAGTGGGCTCTATAAAAGCCGAGCCCTCAAGGCACCTAGCACACTCGAGGAGCAGAGGAGAAAGGGCTTCTTCACGATGGCACGCACCAAGCAGACAGCGCGGAAGTCGACAGGAGGCAAGGCTCCGCGGAAGCAGCTAGCTATGAATGTGGCTCGCAAGACTGCACCGGTTACTGGCGTAGTGAAGAAGAAGCAGCACCGCTACCGCCCAGGCACTGTGGCGCTTCGTGAGATCCGCCGCTACCAGAAGACCACCGAGTTGCTGATTCGCAGGGCGCCGTTCCAGCACTTGGTGCATGAGATAGCTCAGGGTTTCAAGACTGACCTGCGCTTCCAGAGCTCTGCGCTGATGGCGCTGCAGGAGGCCTGCGAGGCCTACCTCGTGGCGCTGTTCGAAGACACCAACCTGTGTGCCATCCACGCCAAGCGGGTGACCATCATGCCGAAAGACATCCACCTGGCTCGTCGCATTCGCGGAGAGCACTCTTAAACTTAGACTCCACAGGCTCCTGATTATTGCACTATCCTAAACCCAAAGGCTCTTTTCAGAGCCACCCACCACATCTATAAAAGTGGTTGTAACCTTGTATGTAAATTTGATCGATAATTGAAAATATATGCAAATTTTTTGCTTTTAAAAGCTGGCCTCAGAATAAAATCTTTGAAACCTTAAAAAAAATCACAATGAATGCATGGGATGTCTTCAAGAATAAACAGGCCAGGTATTTTGCTCTTTGGGACCTTATACGAACATTTCTACTGACTCAGTAATTAATTAATAGGGATGTTTAGTATGTTACGTGATGATAATGAGTATATGGGCTTGTAGTAAGTGAACGGAAGAAAGACATCCCAAACACAAAACAGCAGTGTGCAAATAATAGGAATTACACAGACAATGTTTAGGGAGCCAGTTTCAGGGACTGGCATAGAAGATGCATGTGGCAGGTAGGCTTAAAAACACAGTAATTTTTTCTCTTTTTTTTATCATTTTTTATTTTAATTTTAAATAGCTTGTTTTACATGTCAATCCCAGTTAATTTTGCTGGGCGGTGGTGGCAAATGCCAGCACTAAGGAGGCAGAGGCAGGTAGATATCTGTGAGTTTGGACCAGCCTGGTCTACAGAGTGAGTTCCAGGACAGCCTCCAAAGCCACACAGAAACCCTGTCTCGAAACCCACCCATAAAGTATAGCAATTTGCCAACATTTCACAATAATCATGTGCCTTTCATAGAAGCAGAGATTCAAAAAGGCAAAGGAAAGGTCTCACTTGGAGATCTCTTATTAATCTGTTACAGCCTACTAAGAATTTTACATATACTCCAGTTTGTTTGCTTTTCTGGTCAACAAATGATAAACATATATAGCCAATTGACTTTACAGAAGATATGGCTAAGTATTGAGACATATTTGTCCTACCTTAAAGAAAAACTCTCTTCATTAACCTGATTAAATGCCCAAGGAGAGAACAATTATCCTTCAAAAATGTATATGCTTGCCTTAAATAAGTACAGACAGACGTATCTGAGCAATATCCACAGCTGAAAAGTTCAGCTGTAAATGGAAACACAAATTTCTCCTTTAAAAAACATTCACATGGACTGGTGACATGGTTCAGACAGTAAAGGTGACTGCTACCAAGCGTGATGACCTGAGTTTGATCCCCAGAACCCACATTGTAGAATAGAGCTAGGTGATTGATTGATTGATTGATTGATTGAGTGATTGATTGCCTGATTGAATGCGACAAAGAATTAAAAGACCCACACTTGCTAATCAATAGAGCTTCTCTCCGGAACAAAGGAGATGAGTAAGGAAATAAAATTTGATTTCTACTGAATCTGCTACCCTCAATCCACTCATCCGGAGAACACTATTTAAGAAAGCAGATGGCAGATGGGTGGCAGTGGCACACACCTTTAATCCCAGCACTTGGGAGGCAGAGGCAGGTGGATTTCTATGAGTTTGAGGCCCATCAGAGCTACACATACAGGAATCCTGTCTCGAAAAAAAAATCAAGCAAGCAGAATGCATAAGTGATCGATATACTATACAGGTTTATTTATTTATTTATTTATTTATTTGGATTGGTCTTCAGAAGTACTCTCAGTTCCCATTACAGGACAAGCAGGAAAGTGTGAAGATGAAGCAGGAACGCGAGCACTACTACAACCTCACATGCAAGTGTTTTTCCTTTTTGCTTTTTCGAGACGGGGTTTCTCTGTGTAGCCTTTTCTGTCCTGGAACTCACTCTGTAGACCAGCCTGGCCTCAAACTCATAGAGATCTGCCTGTCTCTGCATCCCTGAGTGATAGATAGTATTAAAGGCACGTGCCACTACATTGGGCTGTATCTCTTTTTTTAAAGACTGCCATTATGATTACAATTAGATGGACTCTCAAAATAATTTGAAATTCCTGAATGACCAATGCGTCCATTTCTTTTCTTGTTGCTGTGACAAAGTATCTGAAGCAGAATTTCAGGGAGGAAGAATTTATTCTGGCTCACAAACTGAAGATTTAGGTTGAGGAAGACACGACAGCAGGAGTGTGAGGCAGCTAGTCACACCGATTCCCAGTTAGGACACAGAGACAGAACGCAGATGTTCCTCTACCTTTCTCCTTTTGATGCAACCAGGACTCTGTCCACAGAATGATCCCTCCTGGAGTTAGGTTTTAATTAACCTAATCTAGATAATCCTTCACAAACTCGTCCAGGGGCTCCTTTCTGTGGTGACTTTAGATCCTGCCATATTGACAATCAATATTAACCATCACAGATACTGAGGTTGAACAATTTTTCACGCATTTATTTTACATTTTGCTTTATCCTTTGAAAGAACTATCTGTTATTGCTTTGATTGAGGTGTTTGATTTCTGTAGGGTTTTTTTTTCACTCTTTGTGCATCCTCGGTATTAAGCTTCTGTCTGCTATGCAGCTGGCAAAGACTTCCTCCCATTCTTCCGGCTTCCTCTTGTCTTAGTTGTTTCCTTCCCAGCTTGGAACTTTCTTCATTTCATGAATCCCATTTGTCGACTCTTAGGCTTATTTTCTGATCAAGTAGAGTCTTGCTCAGGAATCCTTGCTTGTGCTTGAAGTGTTTTCTCTCCTTTTTCTCACGACAGTTTCAGAGTTTAAAGTATTATATCATTTACACTGATCCAGGAGGAGTTGACTTTTATATAGGCTAACAGACAGGGATCTAGTTCATTCTTCTTTATATAGATAGCCAGATCTCCCAGCATCATTTGATGAGGAAACTGACTTTTCTTCAATGCACTTTTGTACATCTTTAGAATCAGTTGGCTGTATTCACATGGGTTTATATCATGGTCCTCTCTTCTATTCCATTTATCTGCGTGTCTCTTTTTGTGCCATTAGCATGCTACTTTGTTCCTGCCGCTGTATGTATAACTTGAAATCAGTTTTCATGATACCTACAGCTTTCTTTTTTATGTTCAGATTTCTTTGACTATGTAGAATCTTTTATGCTTCCATCACTGTCCATCCATTCCTTTGAGACTGGGTTGCAAATTGAGCCTGCAGCTAGGCTGGTGACCACCAAGCCTCAGTATCCTCTTGTCTCTGTCCCTAACAATGCTAAGTTTATGAACACATAGCCAGGCATGCCTTTTCTTTTTAAGTATAGGGTCTGAGGATTCTACCTTAGGTCCTTTTCTTATTATCAAGTGCTCCTACTCACTGAACCATTTGTTTAGCCACTAAAATATATTTTAAGACAAATGAAAATGGGGTTGTTTTCTTGATTTAATTCTCAACACGTTTGTTATTTGTACATCTAATGATTTTTGTGTGATAATTTTGTATCCTGCCATTTTCCTGCAAGTACTTGTGAAATCTATAAGTTTTCTTATATAATCTATTATGTATAGAATCATATCATCGCACATGTGAATAATTTGACTCTTCCTGTCTGTATCCCTCTTATTCCTGTCTCTTATTACTTTAGCTAAGACTTGGGATACTGTATTGAAATAGGTGTAATCAAGATATATACTGAAGGAGAGACCAGCGTGGGTGGAGGGCGCGAGCCGACCGAGCGCGCCAACCATGGCCTCCAAGTGTCCCAGCTGTGACAAGACCTTGTACTTTTCTGAGAAGGTCAGCTCCCTGGGCAAGGACTGGCACAAGTTCTGTCTCATGTGTGAGCGCTGCAACAAGACGCTGACCTCCCGGGTCATGCTGAGCATGATGGGAAACCTTTCTACCACAAACCCTGCTGTGTATGCCTCATTGTTTGGACCCAAAGGCGTGAATATAGGGCATGCTGGTTCCTATGTCTAAGAGAAGCCTCTGACTGAGAGCCTCAGGCCTCAGGTAACATTGGCCCCATTGAGGTCCCTGTGGTGCGAACAGAAGACCAGCAGACCCCCAACGGTCCCACCAAAGACTCTAGTGTCACCACATTCACTGGGGTACACAATATTTGTCTGCGATGCAACAAGAGGGTGTGCTTTGCTGAGAAGGTGACCTGCTGCCACCAGCTCTTACTGCTCTGGGAGTGCTGCTCCAAGACACTGACCCCTGGTGGCTATGCTGAGAATGAAGGCCAGCCCTACTGCCACAAGCCTTGCTATGGAATTCTCTTTGGACCCAAGGGAGTAAATACCAGTACTGTGGGCAGCTGTAGCTATGACAAGGACCCTAAAGGCACAGTCCAGCCTTAGACCTGCAGATGCTGTCCTCAAGGTCCCATGCTTGACTCTGAGGGAAAATGGCCCACTGTCTCCACTGCCTGCTGCTGTGTCCGCTGAGCTGCCTGTGTCTGAGAATGTGCAGAGGGTGTCGGGGATTGACAACACAGAGATCGGAAGGCTCCTCAAGAAGGCTCTCCTTTATTCCTACTCTGGCTGGTTATTATATACCCTGACACCAGAGGTGGAGGTGGGTGGGTTTGAAGAGGTGAATAGTCTTTGGAAAAGGTCGAACGCAGGGCGGTTGCCGTGGGCCAGCCCTTTTCAGGAACTTATTGCCCTTGGCATTGTATTGCTTTTAGTAAACATGTTTTCAGTAAACATTGTCTTACAGCTGCCTACTCCCAGGCCAATGGGGAAGTGGGTCTCTGCTCAAGGTCTGGTATCCCCACAATTCCCCCTTTTTAATTTTTTAATGAGGCACTCCTGGCTTAGGTCAAGTAGGGTCACCTTCTCTTGCCTGTCTTTGGGGGACCTTGAACCCCTGTCTTAGGTGGGAGGTGTCTTCCCCACAGGTTGACCGTCAACGGAAGAACTTCATCCTTAAATCATCTGTAACCCACCTTCATAGCTATCGGGATTGCCATGGACTAAGGTAAGCAATACTTGGTTATGGATCTCTTGCCTCTGGAACAAGGCACGTTTGAGCTCGGCATAAGGCCAGAATGAGTACTGCCACTGCCACCATTTCCAGGACCCCCATTGACATAGCGCCTCTCCATCACCGTACCCATCACCAGATCAGGGCCATAACATTCTACCAGCCTTCCTCTGTTACAAGGGTAACCCAAATGTGATTTACATTTACAATTTGATGGTGAAAACAGTGATAAAGTTTACAATCGTTCTAATATCTGCTCAGGAAAGCATTTAGAAAGTGCGCCTGCACAGATACATTAGGTACAACCATTGATGTTACACATGTAGCATTATAAAAAATATGAACAATAGGCTTGTTGCACTATCCACAGAGCACCAATTTGTTCCTGTGGTGATGCAGTTTGTTGATTTAAAGTCACCAGCCTCAGCTGACTATGCGACTTGAGACAAAGGTCTCTTTTTGTCACATTAGGACAAGTTCCATTTCTCCAGAAAAATACACTGGCATAGGTGTGATTCCAGAAACAGGAACCACCAAGTCTGATATTTCAAGTGACCATGTCCTGTTCAAATACTGAAAAGAGGCTTTTGCCACTCATCACAGTCCATACCAATGTGCAAATGTTTTAAATGGGTCCTTTTTTCCCCCAAAGGGAAAAACTGGCAAAATGAATTCTGTTGTTTCAAGGTGTGTCAAGGGCAGACAGTTAGTCTTTCCAGTTCTCTGTTGGCTTCGGGATGAAAACTCACAGGTCCGGGAGGTTGATGCAGCAGGCCTGTTGAGAAACTGGAAATCTAGAACCGACTGTTTTCCTTCTTTCTCGGGCTGTAGATTGGATGACATCAAGGGTCAGGAACACTGATTTAGGAGATCTCACTCAAACTGGCTTAGGTAAGCTCCTATGGTCTCAGGTCCAGTTTTTCTCTGCTCCATGCATCTCACTAAATGGTCTGACAGCTGCCAAAGCTTTATTCTTTTCCTGCAAGAAAACACAAACATGCCCTCGACACCAAATTAGGGTCTTCTCCACTGTCTAGTGCATGGATGTCTCCGTTTGACCTCAGCAATGGTTGCTCTGAGGGCGATCTCTCAGGGTCCCCTTACTTTCCTGACCTTTGACAGGCGAAGGCCTGGAGATTTAATCTGGTACACCTAGCTTGGTACCCCTTTTTAACACTTTTGCATAGCCTTACAGGCCAGCCTTTTAGATCTCTCAGTTCCCCTTTACTTTCCTGACCTCAGTGGATCAGGTGAAAAACTTGAGATTTTTTATTTTATTTCTTATTTTACCTTTATTTTTTGAGACTGGGTTTCTCTCTATCCTTTTGGAGGCTGCCCTGGAACTCAATCTATAGACCAGGATGGCCTCGATCCTACCTACCTCTGTCTCTCGAGTGTTGGGATTAAAGGCATATGCCACCAACACCCGACTCTCTGAAGATCATAGCAAACCTCCTCCCAATCAGGGACATTTATGCCTCCCCCAGTAATGAACCATGGGCTCACTCGCTCAATCCATTTTAAAAAGCCTTCCATGGTTGTAGTCCCCTGTTCTTCAAGTCACTTTTTTACGTGATACTGTAATTTAAACTTCCAGGGACTATTTCCCTTACCTCAGTGTGTCTTGACTGCAAACCCCGGGGCCTGAGTGGCTTAGTAGGAAGTCTGCTGGGTAATGTCCAGAACAGCACAGAACTTCAACACTACTTCTTTCTTCCTTCCTTCCTTTCTTTCTTTCTTTCTTTCTTTCTTTCTTTCTTTCTTTCTTTTTTGTTTTTTGAGACAGGGTTTCTCTGTAGTTTTTGGAGGCTGTCCTAGAACTCGCTCTGTAGACCAGGCTGGCCTCAAACTCACAGAGTTCTGCCTGCCTCTGCCTCCCGAGTGCTGGGATTGAAGGTCGGCGTCACCAACACACAGTGCGAGGTTTCAGGATTTTTAAAAAAAAGATATATATTGAAGAAAGTGGGTATACAATCTCATTCCTGATTTTAATGAAATGTCCCCTGTAGTCTAGAGCATTTTTATGAAGCTAGTACTATCCTGATTCCAAAACAGATAAAGTCATCGCAAAAAGAAAAAATAAAATTGCTGATGGCTAACCAGTCTCCTTGATAAACACAGATGCAAAATGCAAAGTGAATTCAACATCACATCAAAAAGACCATGTACGTCAACCAAGCTAGCATCATTACAGAGACATAGAGATTGTTCAATATATTTTAGTAAAATCAATGAATGTTATTCAGCACATAGGCGCATAGTCAGAAATCATATGATCATTTACATGGATGCAGAAAAGGCATTTGATAAAATTCAATATCTATGATAAATGATTATTTATGTGGGACACAATTTATTTACAAAAGAGTGTAAAATTCACCATCGAATATGCCATGTTTTGTTTATTCTCATAGGAGACCTGCCCTTTGCTAAACAGAAACAGAGGAGGAATGGATGGGGGAGACTGGGGAAGGGCTGGGGAAGGGCCTGGGAGTAGAAGAGGGAAAGGAAAGCTTGGCCAGGTTGTATAAATAAACTTATTTTAAAATGAAAATATCAACATAAGAAGTTGAGTGTCTGAAGTGCTGTGCCTTCTAAGGGCTGACTTTTCTCCCTTACAACCTCACCCAACCCTTGCCAAGGAGCCAAGGCAACTATACAACCACTTAGTCTTCAAAGATTCCTCCTCCCCCAGCTCTGCTCAAAGAGGGTGAGAGCCAGGTGAGCCTGGGGCAGTGGGACAGATGCCACCATAAACCACCATGTAGGGAGTGGTCCATCCTAGCAACAAACAATGAGATCCTTTACGATAGCCAAATAAGGAATGAGGAACCCATCCAAAAAGTCTCTCCCAGGATGACAACCACCAAATACACTAGACATAAGCAAGGGTTAACAGCCTTGAGACATGTCACTTTGCTATAGAGGAGCAAGCCACTGCTCAGCACTAAGAAATATCCCACTAGGACCTCCTCTCTCCCATCTGCCAAGGATCCTTAGACTGAGGCTATTCTATTCCCTCTCTGTTCATCCAGCCACGCAGAGTGGAGCTTACAAAATCCACTGGGAACCAGGCAGTGGTGGCAATCTCCTTTAATCCCAGCACTTGGGAGTCAGAGGCAGGCAGTTCTCTGTGGGTTTGAGGCCAGCCTGGTATACAAGAGCTAGTTCTAGGGTAGCCTCCAAAGCCACAGAAAACCCTATATCGAAAAAAGCAAACAAAAAAGCTACTTGGGAACAAGAAGACAGAACGTCGGTCACCAGATAGACATCATGCAGCTGCCAAGGACCAGAGACCCGAGCATCACAGGCGTTTGGCTTACGTGTATACTGTGTTGGCATTTAGGTGGAATTTGGATGGGTCAGATATTCTGGCACTAGGGAGTCACAGAATATTTAGTGTTACACAGCTCAGGTGGGAAGGTATCCTGGAGCTCGGGAGCCAAGGACCACCACAGGTTGCAGTAAGCATAGCAGCTTACAGCCCTGCCTCAGGGAAAGGCTTTCCCAATGTATGGGCTCCACTCAGGCCGAACAGCATCTTCCAGCTGAGGATGTTCGCTCAGTGTTGCAGTTTTGCTCGGCAGGAGGTTTCTCGGGAGAAATTATTACAGTTCAGCTCTGCTCCTGGGGAGCAGACAGCACAGATTGGAGCTCTGCCAAGAGAAACTTTCCCTGGCCAAAGGGTTACAGCCCTGCTAGCTCTGCTCTGCTCTGCCCAGGGTGGCCTCTGCTGTCTCCACCGCAAAAGATTTTCACCCAAAGCTCATTGAAGGGGTTTATTGGAAGGAAGAATCCGGAGGAATGGCTGCCCTCTGCCAGAGTAGCAGGGGACAGCAGGGTAGCACGAACAGCCACAAGCTGAACAGACACACGGTTTATATGGGGCTTCCAGGGTGGGGATAGGTCAGATTTAGTGCTGAGCTCCGATTGGCTAGAGCTCCTGCTCAAGGATTGGCTAGTTTTCTGCACAGGATTAGGGTGAGATTTGCCTCTGGTTTCAGAGCCAAAGTGTGTTTCTTTCTCTGGTCCTTTTTAGCCTTTTCACTCCAATTTTAGGGTCAGGGTGCATTTCTTTCACTGACTCTGATGCCAGGGACAAAGTGTGTTCTTTTGGCACTGGTTTCAGGGTCAGGGAACATTTCTTTGGTTCTGGTTGCAGGGCCAAAGTGTGTTTCTTTGGCTCTGCTCAGGGTGTGTTTCTTTGACTCGTCCTTTTCCTATACATACTGTGGACCACTTGCATGCCTGGTACCAGCAGAAGATGGTTTCAGAGCCCCTGAGGTGAATTAAGGTGGAAGCAAGCCTTCATGTGGGTGCTGGGTGTTGAGCACTGGTCCTCTGGAAGAACAGACAGTTTAACTGCTGAACCACCTCCAGCCCTTGCTCCGGAAGTCCTTAAACTGTTCTAGGTCTAATATCACAAACTCAGGAAAACACCCAGAGGTTCTAGAAGGTTCTTTGTGACTTGACCGTTGAGGCAGGATTGTAAAAATAAAAAAAGAAAAATTTAAGAACAGCTTGAGTTTTTCTACAGTCCATGCTGCACGCCTACAGAGACAGCCTCCATTAACAGTCCTGGTGGCAAGACCACCCGGAGGGGCAGGCTGTAAAGAGGATCACCACATGGGCCAACCAGAGTGCAGTAATGAATCACGACACCTGGTGGGCGACCAATAGGAATGCAGTGGGCTCTATAAAAGCCGAGCCCTCAAGGCACCTAGCACACTCGAGGAGCAGAGGAGAAAGGAGCTTCTTCACGATGGCACGCACCAAGCAGACAGCGCGGAAGTCGACGGGAGGCAAGGCTCCGAGGAAGCCGCTAGCTATGAATGTGGCTTGCAAGACTGCACCGGTTACTGGCGTAGTGAAGAAGAAGCAGCACCGCTACCGCCCAGGCACCGTGGCGCTTCGTGAGATCCGCCGCTACCAGAAGACCACCGAGTTGCTGATTCGCAGGGCGCCGTTCCAGCACTTGGTGCGTGAGATAGCCCAGGGTTTCAAGACTGACCTGCGCTTCCAGAGCTCTGCGCTGATGGCGCTGCAGGAGGCCTGCGAGGCCTACCTTGTGGCGCTGTTCGAAGACACCAACTTGTGTGCCATCCACGCCAAGCGGGTGACCATCATGCGGAAAGACATCCACCTGGCTCGTCGCATTCGCGGAGAGCACTCTTAAACTTAGACTCCACAGGCTCCTGATTATTGCACTATCCTAAACCCAAAGGCTCTTTTCAGAGCCACCCACCACATCTATAAAAGTGGTTGTAACCTTGTATGTAAATTTGATCGATAATTGAAAATATATGCAAATTTTTTGCTTTTTAAAACTGGCCTCAGAATAAAATCTTTAAAACCTTAAAAAAATCACAATGAATGCATGGGATGTCTTCAAGAATAAACAGGCCAGGTATTTTGCTCTTTGGGACCTTATACGAACATTTCTACTGACTCAGTAATTAATTAATAGGGAAGTTTAGTATGTTACGTGATGTTAATGAGTATATGGGCTTGTAGTAAGTGAACGGAAGAAAGACATCCAAAACACAAAACAGCAGTGTGCAAATAATAGGAATTGCACAGACAATGTTTAGGGAGCCAGTTTCAGGGACTGGCATAGAAGATGCATGTGGCAGGTAGGCTAAAAAAATACAGTAATTTTGCTGGGCAGTGGTGGCACATGCCTTTAATCCCAGCACTAGGGAGGCAGAGGCAAGAGGATCTCTGTGAGTTCAGACCAGCCTGGACTACACAACGAGTTCCAGGACAGCCTCCAAAGCCAGACAGAAACCCTGTCTAGAAACCCACCCACCCACAAAATACAGCAGTTTGGTACCATTTCACAATAATCATGTGCCTTTCAGAGAAGGCAGATATTCAAAAAAGCAAAGGAAGTCTCTGATTTGGAGACGTCTTATTAATCTGTTACAGCCTACTAAGAATTTTACATATACCCCAGATTGTTTGCTTTTCTGGTAAACAAATGATAAACATATATTGCCAGTTGATATAACAGAGGATATGGCTAAATATTGAGATATATTGGTCCTACCTTAAAGGAAAACTCTCTTCATTAGCCTGAGTAAATCCCCAGGGAGAGAAAAATTATTTTCAAAAAATATATTTGCTTTCCTTAAAAAAGTACAGACAGACGTATCTGAGCAATATCCACAGCTCATAAGTTCAGCTGAAAATGGAAACCCAATTTTCTCCTTAAAAATGCACGTGGACTGGTGACATGGTTCAGACAGTAAAGGTGACTGCTACCAAGCGTGATGACCTGAGTTTGATCCCCAGAACCTACTTGGTAGAATAGAAGTGATTGATTGATTGATTGATTGGTTGGTTGAATGCAACAAAGAATTAAAAGGCCCACACTAGCTAATCAACAGAGCTTCTCTCTGGAACAAAAGAGATGAGTAAGGATCAAAATTTGATTTCTACTAAATCTGCTACCCTCAATCCACTCATCCGGAGAACACTATTTTAGAAAGCAGATGGCAGATGGGTGGCAGTGGCACACACCCTTAATCCCAGCACTTGGGAGGCAGAGGCAGGTGGATTTCTATGAGTTTGAGGCCAGCCAGAACTACACACACAGAAATCCTGTCTTGAAAAAAAAAAATCAAGCAAGCAGATTGCATAAGTGATCGATATGGTGTTTTTTTTTTTTTTTTTTGGTCTTCAGAAATACTCTCAGTTCCCATTACAGGACAAGCAGGAAAGTGTGAAGATGAAGCAGGAACGCGAGCACTACTACAACCTCACATGCAAGTGTTTTTGCTTTTTCGAGACGGGGTTTCTCTGTGTAGCCTTGTCTGTCCTGGAACTCACTCTGTAGACCAGGCTGGCCTCAGACTCATAGAGATCTGCCTGTCTCTGCCTCCCTGAATGATAGATAGTATTAAAGGCACGTGCCACTACATTGGGCTGTATCTGTTTTCTTAAAGACTGCCGTTATGATTACAATTAGATGGACTCTCAAAATAATTTGAATTTCCTGAATGACCAATGCGTCCATTTCTTTTCTTGTTGCTGTGACAAAGTATCTGAAGCAGAATTTCAGGGAGGAAGAATTTATTCTGGCTCACAAATTGAAGATTTAGGTTGAGGAAGACACGACAGCAGGAGTGTGAGGCAGCTAGTCACACCGATTCCCAGTTAGGACACAGAGACAGAACGCTGATGTTCATCTACCTTTCTCCTTTTGATGCAACCAGGACTCTGGCCACAGAATGATGAATCCCTGGGGTTAGGTTTTAATTAACCTAATCTAGATAATCCTTCACAGACTCGTCCAGGGGCTCCTTTCTGTGGTGACTTTACATCCTACTAAATTGATAATCAATATTAACCATCACAGATACTGAGGTTGAACAATTTTTCACGCATTTATTTTACATTTTGCTTTATCCATTGAAAGAACTATCTGTTTATTGCATTGATTGAGTTGTTTGATTTCTGTAGGGTTTTTTTTTCACTCTTTGTGCATCCACGGTATTAAGCTTCTGTCTGCTATGCAGCTGGCAAAGACTTCCTCCCATTCTTCCGGCTTCCTCTTGTCTTAGTTGTTTCCTTCGCAGCTTGGAACTTTCTTCATTTCATGAGTGCCATTTGTCGACTGTTATGCTTATTTTCGGAGCAAGTAGAGTCCTTCTCAGGAGTCCTTGCTTGTGCTTGAAGTGTTTTCTCTCCTTTTTCTCACGACAGTTTCAGAGTTTAAAGTATTATATCATTGACACTGATGCACTAGGAGTTGACTTTTATATAGGCTAACAGACAGGGATCTAGCTTCATTCTTCTTTATATGGATAGCCAGATCTCCCAGCATCATTTGATGAGAGCCCTGACCTTTCTTCAATGCACTTTTGTACATCTTTAGAATCAGTTGGCTGTATTCACATGGGTTTATATCATGGTCCTCTCTTCTATTCCATTTATCTGCGTGTCTCTTTTTGTGCCATTAGCATGCTACTTTGTTCCTGCCGCTGTATGTATAACCTGAAATCAGTTTTCATGATATCTACAGCATTCTTTTTATGTTCAGATTTCTTTGACTATGTAGAATCTTTTGTGCTTCCATCACTGTCCATCCATTCCTTTGAGACTGGGTTGCAAATTGAGCCTGCAGCTAGGCTGGTGACCACCAAGCCTCAGTATCCTCTTGTCTCTGTCCCTAAAAATGCTAAGTTTATGAGCACATAGCCAGGCATGCCTTTTTTTAAAATATAGGTTCTGAAATTTCAACCTTAGGTTCTCTTCTTATTTACCACGTGCTCTTACTCTCTGAACCATGTTTTTAGCCGCTAAAATATTTTAAGGCAACTGAAAATGGTGTTGTTTTCTTGATTTAATTCTCAACACGTTTCTTATTTGTACATCTAGTGATTTTTGTGTGATAATTTTGTATCCTGCCATTTTCCTGCAAGTACTTGTAAAATCTACAAGTTTTCTTATATAATGTATTAGGTAGGGAATCATATCATCGCACATGTGGATAATTTGACTCTTCCTGTCTGTATCCCTCTTATTTCTTTCTCTTATTACTTTAGCTAAGACTTCAGACACTATATTGAAATAGGTGTATTCAAGATATATATTGAAGCAGAGACCAGCGCGGGTGGAGGGCGCAGCCCGGCCGAGCGCGCCAACCATGACCTCCAAGTGTCCCAGCTGTGACAAGACCTTGTACTTTTCTGAGAAGGTGAGCTCCCTGGCAAGGACTGGCACAAGTTCTGTCTCATGTGTGAGCGCTGCAACAAGATGCTGACCTCCCGGGGCCATGCTGAGCATGATGGGAAACCTTTCTACCACAAACCCTGCTGTGTATGCCACATTGTTTGGACCCAAAGGCGTGAATATAGGGCGCCATGGTTCCTCCATCTACGAGAAGCCTCTGACTGAGAGCCCTCAGGCCTCAGGTAACATTGGCCCCATTGAGGTCCCTGTGGTGCGAACCAAAGAACGGGAGACCAGCGGACCCCGAACTGTCCCAGCAAAGCCTCTAGTTTCACGACATTCACTGGGGTACACAATATTTGTCTGCGATGCAACAAGAGGGTGTGCTTTGCTGAGAATGTGACCTGCTGCCACCAGCTCACCCTGCTCTGGAAGTGCAGCTCCAAGACACTGACCCCTGGCGGCTATGCTGAGAATGAAGGCCAGCCCTGCTGCCACAAGACATGCTATGGAATTCTCTTTGGACCCAAGGGAGTAAATACCAGTACTGTTGGCAGCTGTATATGACAAGGACCCTAAAGGCACAGTCCAGCCTTAGACCTGCAGATGCTGTCCTCAGGGTCCCATGCTTGACCCTGAGGGAAAATGACCCACTGTCTCCACTGCCTCCCCTTACCTCAGTGTGTCTTGACTGCAAACCCCGGGGCCTGAGTGGCTGCGGGGGGAAGTCTGCTGGGTAGTGTCCAGAACAGCACAGAATTTCAACACTGCCTCTTTCTTTCTTCCTTCCTTCCTTTCTTTATTTCTTTTTATTTTTTGTTTTTGTTTTTTTTTTTTTTTGTTGTTGTTGTTTGATTTTCGAGACAGGGTTTCTCCGTATTGTTTTGGAGGCTGTCCTGGATCTCGCTCTGTAGACTAGGCTGGCCTGGAACTCACAGAGTTCTGCCTGCCTCTGCCTCCTGAGTGGTGGGATTAAAGGTCTGCGCCACCAATACTCGGCACACGGTTTGAGGATTTTTAAAAAACATATATATTTAAGAAAGTGGGCAAACACACCTTATTCCTGATTTTAATGAAATGTCCCCTGTAGTCTAGAGCATTTTAATGAAGCAAGTAGTATGCTGCATCCAAAACCAGATAAAGACATCGCAAAAAGAAAAAAGAAAATTGCTGATGGCTAACCAGTCTCCCTGATGAACACAGATGCAAAATGCAAAGTGAATTCAACATCACATCAAAAAGACCATCTCCATCAACCAAGCTGACATCATTACAGAGACATAGAGATTGTTCAATATATTTTAGTAAAATCAATGAATGTTATTCAGCACATAGGCGCATAGTCAAAAATCATATGATCAACTACATAGATGCAGAAATGGCATTTGATAAACTTCAACATCTATGATAAATGATTATTTATGTGAGACACAATTTATTTACAAAAGAGTGTAAAATTCAACATCAAATATGCCATGTTTTGTTTATTCCCATGGGAGACCTGCCCTTTCCTAAACAGAAACAGAGGAGGTGTGGATTGGGGGGAGGGCGTCTGGGGAAGGACTTGGGGGAGGGCCTGGGAGGAGAAGAGGGAAAGGAAAGCTTGGCCA